TTTTCAGCACTATCTACTGCATTCCTCAGACAGTCCATGGGAAAAAGAACCAACCTGGGTCACTTCAAAAAAAAAAAGTTCCTTGAGGATGGAGTGTTTGGAGGGCATCCAAATATGCAAAAACATTCCCCCGGCAGGAGGACCAGAAGCAGCGCTGCCTCCCAAGGGACGGACGCCTGAGGGGCGGGAGCGGGCCAGAGCCCTCAAAACGGCTCCAGTCACAGCCACACTTCTTCACACACCTCAGTGAACCGTTAAAAAGGGAAAAAAAAAAAAAAAAGGAGCCCATGGGAAACAAATGCTATAAACTAGATTTCAACACTAGATTAAAAACACAACAACAACAACAAACCCGCTTCAGACCTCAGCCTTGACTTAGGGCGTCAAGAGAACAGGAGAGGCAAGCCGGGGTCGACTGCCTTGGGGACAGCCGTGGAGTTCTCTGGTGACATGGGACGGATGAGGAGGAGCTCCTCAAAGCGCTGGAACGCTCTGTTGGAGGTTTCCAGCGCCTTCCTCCGGCTCGACGCTGCTTTCTGCTGGGTGCGCAGAGGGAAACGGTCTCTCCCCCGTGCCGGGCGCTCCAGCAAACTCTGCAGACGGGAAGGTGTAACCTGGGATTCAGGCGGCAGAAGCCAAACAAGAGGCTGGGGCAGGGGTGGGCAGGCTCGGTCAAGGGCGGTTGGCTAACGCGTCCTTAAAAACAGCACAGCGGACACCTCGTGCAAGCGGAGGAACAGAAATAAATATCCTTTAAGAGCCACGGAACAGAGGCCCTACGCAGCCAGCGCGCCTGGCCCGGATGATCGGCTCTCCCTGAAGGCAGCACTGTGAGAGAGCATGGCTCAATGAGAACAGGTTTTGGAAAAATTTTATTGCATTTTGTTTCCATGTGGAAGCACGGACAGAAGTGAAAAGAGGCAGCATGTTCCACTTAACTGTTCATGGAAAAATCACATGGCTCGATGCGCTTCCTCCCTATCCTGGATTGGGTTTCATAAACCTTATCCCCTACCCCACCCCAAGCACAGGCTAAAAAAGGAGGTTTGTGGTGATCACTTATAAAAAACCAAATCCACGTGTACGAATTCACAGATGGTCAGTCCTCTGATTTCTGGGACTTCTGCATTGGCTGGGCCCTCCCTGTCCCTCGGCCTCCTCATCTCCCCACTCTCTTCCGGCCTTCCTCTTAGAAGGGGGATTTCACAGGGGAAGTGCCTCCAGGGGGCAAGGCCGGTTCCCGGGAGCGGGGTGGCCATCCGCCAGCTTTCGGAAGTCTGGGGGCCGTGATGCCGACCTTGCATCCCCGTCAGCCCCAGGCCGGGACGACGGCCTCCCAGGTTAAAATACAGGTAAGACATGGCTACGTGCACATGTAGGTGTCTAAAACATCAGAAAGGGAACCCGCTTTAGAGATTTACAAAATGGGGTGGAGGAGGTTCACGCGCGGGGGGATGTGGCCGTGTCACTCAGCATTAGCGCCGCTAACCAGCCACCTTGCGGGGAGGGGGAGGGGTGCTAAGAGTAAGCAGCCGTGACAAAGGAAACCTGAAATCGCATGATTTGTTTTCTCCTCTTGACTGTGTAAGGCATTTAGAGCTGGAAAAACGTCTCTCCTTCACACTCTTCCAAATAATCAGCAGGAATATAACTGGTGATTCGGAATACAAATAAGACCCCTTTGATACCCCCCCCCCACCAAAGTCACTCAACACACCCAAGCCCATGGAGTACAAGGAGGCAAACCATGTCCACATTGGGGGATAAGGCCGCGGAGCCAAGGGCCCTTCTTAGGCTCCAGCCCTGATCCTGCCCCTTGCGGCCACAAGAGGTAAGCATCCGTCTTCGGTGATGTTTTAAGTCCCACGGGGGCGCCTGCCACGGCCTCCTGGGCAGCAGGAGGTCACGGCCCCCCCGCCTCTCCTACACATCCCCCACCAGGCGTCCGGGCTGGTCCATCCGCACACCAGCCAGCCGCTCCCTCAGTTAGTCGAGGCGGGCATGGCCCGGAGACCGCACCCTCCACGTTAGTCAGGCCAGACAGACAGCAGAGAGGAAACCAGAGGCCAGAGAAGTGATTTTTAAAAAAGGAAAAAAAGAAGAGCAGCTTCGGTCACCAAAAAATAGAAAGGATGATCTCTTAAAAATAAAACATGGGGACTTTTTTTTTTTTCTCTGCAATGCTCAGCCATTTTACTTGAGACATTAAAAAAAAAGTTTGAGAGTAGTTGGTTTGCTTTTTTTTTTCGGTTACACATTCATGAGAACGGATGGGACGGTAGTGCTGTGCTGTGTGTCTGGGCGGCAGTGCTGGTCCTTCAGACCACATACTGGTATGGGTCTGCCTTCCCTTGGTCTGGCGTGGCAAAGGGGCTGGCCCAGCCTAGAGAGAAGGGGTGGCCAAAAACGGCTTTCATGTTCATCCATTTTGTTTTTTTAGCCCATCTTCTCTCTTCCTTTTTCAATTGTTCTATTCCCTGAAAACAAGAACAATCATACTTTCAGTCAAGCACTTTATTGCTGTGGTTTTTGGGGAGGGATGTCCATTAGCTTGAGGTGAATGAAGTCAATGCTTCCTTTTAAAGCCATAGAGCTGCCTACATCGTACATTTTTCTTCTCCTTCTCTCATCGAAAGTGTCAAAGGAAAAAAAAAAATTTGGTGGGGGGAGTGGGGGTATGTGGGCACATATTTACAAGTCCCTCCAGGAAGGGAGGGGAAAGTGAGCAAATCCACAGGCCGCTGAGCCAGGATTCCTACAGGCATGTGGATCCGGGGTGTTTTGCTAAGTGAAGGAGCCACATCTACGCAGACTGGGCTCCGGCCTGGTGCTGGGCCTGGCTGTGTGTGGGGCTGCTGGGAAGGCTTTGGGGCAAGAAGCCTCAGAGCTGGAAGGGGCTCGGGATCGTGACAGCCAATGCTGGCCTTTAATTTGGGTAGGTTCAAGTTTGACACGACTATGACCACTTTGCAGACAAAAAAAAAAAGGAACAAATGAAATGACCGCTCTGGCACTGTGGTCCCACCAGCCTGGGAGGTCAAGAAGCCCCCAGCCTAGCGGGGCGGGCAAGGCAGACCTGAGAAGGTCGACCAGGAGTCAGAGACCGTGGGTGAGGGGAGAAGCCACCACAGAGGAGGAAGGAAAGGGATTAGTAGAGGTTAGAGGGGCTGCCTGGACAGACAGCCAGCCCCAGACATGGCAAAGGTCTTCCTAGTGCTCCTCTGGGAAGACTCGAGACCAGAGGCCACCTCGGTGGTTGTCCAGAGCCTGGGCTGTTCCCCCCACTGAGTCGCACAGGAAAAGCAGGCTGGGGAGGGAGCCCGTTCCCTCCCTTCTCCCCTCTTCCGATGGAGCTGGTCAGCAGGCAGGGCCTGAGGATGTGCCCTTGCTCGGAGAACAGGAGAGAAGGGGCCTGGCAGGAGCCTGGCCGAGGGTCTGTCTGCCGCGGTCTCTGGTGAGGACGAGGAACCGGGAGGAGTCAGGAGGGGCCAGCCTAACTCAAGTCTCTGTTCAGGGCCAGGGAGCTGGGAGGGTCCAGGCCAAGGGGAAGACACGCTTTCCCCAGACACGCCCTTCCTTCTTTTCTGCTTTCCTTTCCAACACAATTCCCTTTAGGAATGGCCTGGAAGGAGAAGAACAGCTAGGGCCAGGGCTGTGTGTGTTTTCTTTCTGGCTCCCCCAGACCTCGGCCCGTGTGACCTGGCCGCAGGCAAGAGTGGGCCGGATGGTCACCTCTGGGTTCCCTGTGGCTCTTAGGCAGAGAAGCTGGTCACACCTACTGTTGGACACACAGCCGGGTCTACACTGTTGGCTACTATTTTTACAGAAACTCTTACAATGATATTATTATAAAAGATGAAAAAGTTGCTCAGAGCCCCCCCCCGCCCCATTCTAAACCATCGGGAATTCCCACGGATCCAAAAGATGGTGGCTTGGCGGCCAGGGAGTGCCAAACCCCGGATTTTCCACACCCGCAGGGAGGGGCCTGGGTGGCAGTGGCAAGGAGTCTGTCTCCCTACGAGCCTCCATCTGATGCTGACTAATCTGCAGGCCCAAAGCCGCCCCACAGGGCCTTAGATGACTGCCACCTGCCACCTGAGGGGGACCTTGGGAAGCCAGGAGGAGTGCCAAGAAGGGCCCAGGACCTCATGCCTCTCCTCCTCATACCAAACTAAGTGCTGCCCCTTCCTCCCGGGCCTCCTCACCTGGAGCCCAGAGCCAAAAAGAAAGAAAGGCCCACATCACAGCAATGGACTGACCACCTTGAGACTTTTGGACACTTAGGACAGACAGGTGGCTGTGGCACCAGGGGATTGGGCTCCAGTCCTGCCCAGCCAGCAGCCTCGAAGTTCCCAGCGAAGGAACTGTGGGTAGGGTGGAGGTAAGGGTTGGGGCAGGGGGGAAGGGCAATAGACGAGGACCAGAGCCGGACCAAGCAAAGGTACCCAATGGCCAGGTGAGTGCTTGTGGCCCACAGCTCAGGGATGCTTGAGGCAGGCTGTTTCCTGACTCTGCCCTCTGGACCTACGCATGGAGTCACCTACTCCAGGAAGTTGACCCTGCCCATTTCAGCTGGATTCAGGCCCCCTTTGTCCATCATCCTCTCTCCAGGCCTGTAGTCCTCAGATGGGAAGGGTGTCCCTGTGCCCAGTAGAGTGCCTGACACAGCACAGTGTGTAACAGAACCATCATGGGAAGAGGGAAGGACTTTTGGCAAAGGGCACCCTTCACCAAGGCTGCTAGGCTCCATTCCTGGTGTGACCTGCTATGCCGGCCGCAAGGGAAGGCGTGTGTGTGTGTGTGTGTGTGTGTGTGTGTGTGTGTGTGTGTGTAAGATCCAGTGTCACTGCAAATGGAGGGATGTGGCCTGCACACCTCGCACCTGGGCCTTGGTCACTGGGCTCCCAGGTCTGGCCTGCATGCAGCCCTCCCAGCAGCACCTGCCCTGGGTCCTCCCCCAAGCCCAGGAGCGGAGGTGAGGGGGCAGGCTGCCCGCTTACCGTTTCATCTGTGCAGATGGAGTGCACCTGGGTCCCAAACATCACAGATGTGAAAATGAGAAAGAGCAGCCCCTCAAAGCACAGCAGGATGAGGAGGATCACTGTGGTAGGTGGTGAGAAGGAGCTGCACTCTGAAAGAGAAGGGTCGTGTGGGACTTGGAGCTGCTACCCATTGCCCGCTGTGCGCCACTCGATGTCCCCAGGGCTCCCGCCCTGCCTCCAGCCCCGCAGGACCCGGTTCCTCCTGGGTGCCATGTGTCCCTGGCCTCCAGGCCAGGGAGGGCACCATGCTGCCTCACATCTGGCTGCACCAGCACTCCCTCGGGGAAGCCCTTCTCCACAGGCCAGGTGCCTCCTGGGGCTTCCCCTCCTAACACCTCTTAACTGCTGCTCTTTTCCTGGCCAGTGTCTGTATCCTGCTGCCGTGCACAGTGCCCAGCACATGGAAGGACTCAGAAAAGCCTCAAGGCTGAGGCATGAAGATGAAGCCAGGGGGAGCCTCCTTCCCTCAGACAGCACAACACAGGCTGGACATTCCTGCACCTCTGCCTGCTTCTGGGGGACAGGAAAGGGCAGGTCCAGAGGATCACTCAGGGGTTTTGGGATTCAAAGTCTATGAGGGGGCAGTCTGGCTACTGGGCTTGGCCCTGAGCTAGGGGTGAAACAAGCCCCCTGGGAAACGCCCCTCTCAGGAGCATCTGCATCACTGAGACGGTCAGTCCAACCGGACAGCCGCCTGGCCAGAGCAGCTGCTTTCGATCTCCCGGCCTCTCTCTGAGCCCAGGCTGCCAGGGGGGTGTGACCTGAAATAAGTCCTTGTCCCTGTCCAGGCCTCCACCCCCTCCTCCTAGAGCAGCAAGGTTTGACCAGATGTGTGGTTCTGTTTTCAGCACCAGAAGCCTCTGTCTGGACCAAGTCTAAATCAGAAGCACCCCCAACTGGAGAGAAAAGCCGAGGGAGCTGTGGGAGACGGTGGGGGGGGGGGACTGAGGGAATGGGGATGACACTGGGAGACGGGGACCTGATCCCAGCCAATCTCCTGCCCCCGCTGACGGCTGCCTGGGCCTGTCACAGCCCGGCTTGTGGTGCATGTTTCTCGTTGCCCCAGGGTGCAGGCCTGTTGCCCTGGCTGGAGGGGTCCGATCTGGGAGGGCTGGGCTGGGCTTCCCTGGGCTTTGGGAACTCAGGGAATCTGGGATGCCCTGCCGCCTCCATCGCGGGAGCTTCACCACAACGGGCCTGGAGACACAGCGCTGTCCAGGTGGTGAGGTGAGCCACATCTCATCCAAATGCCTTTATCTCCTCACGCTTCCCTCGGAACTCAACAATGCCTGCGGACACTTTCCCCTCTGGCTTCCTTGCTGGCAGGGCCTGGGTGGGCTGGCCCCGGTCGGCTCCAGGTGTGGCAGCCGCCTGCCTGGCCGCTGGGTGGGGTGATGGGCAGAACGAGGGTTCCACAGTCAGGCAGACACAGCAGGGTGAGGATCCTGGAGCCGACTCCCCACCATGAGCTCTTGCTAAGATGCCCCCACTAATAATCTGTGGCCCCTGCATCTTTCCTGTCCCGCACCCCGTGGAATCATGTTTGTTCCTGTCCTTGCTTGCTGTCTGCCTTGCCCACACCTGCAGCCCCAGGAGGCCGGGGCTTTGGCTCCCTGCTGTACAACCAGCCTTGCAGTGGTGCCCGATAACACAGGACTGTGGGCACATGGCTGGGGCTCTCTGCGCTTTAGTTCTCCCTTCGGCTGGGTGGCGTGGCTGAGAGCTCACGAGAACCTCCGCACAGGTCGGCCCGGGCCCAGCATGAGCACACGGCCGGTGCCCCCTGGATGGAGGCGCCTTGCCCCTTCCTTCCCCACCTCGGCTGCCCCGGGGCTGGGGCAGGAGGCAGAGCCCGGCGCCGTGGCCTGCTCTCCATCCCCACCCAGCTACACGGACCCTTCCCCTCCTGGGCTGGCCCCTGGGGACTACGAATGGAGTTGGGGAGGCAGGAACCAGACCCAGGAAATGTACAACTACCACTCTACCCTTCGTTAAACCTCAACTCAAAGCGCCCTCATTCTGGGGACACCCCCTTCCCCTCTTACACAAGCTGGATGTGAGACAGCTCGGCCACGGCTGAGCAGTCACGGTAGTCGCTGTCACACTGGGCCAATCTCAGGCTTCCACTCTGGGGACTGTCCTCCTAGCCTAGCGGCCACAGGCACCACTACCTCGACCCTCTTCCATCAGGAATCTTGACCGAAGACCACCAAGAACTCTTAGGGAGGACCCTGGGCCCCGGGGTCATTGAGGCAGGGCTGGAAGAGCCCGCTCCAGACTGGGGCTTGAAGCACGGCCCTCCTCTTAGACGTGTGAGCTTGGCCACCGACTAGACCCCTGCGAGCCCCAGCTTTTGTCACCCACTAAGTGGGAGCCTCTCTCCTGCCCTGCGGGCTTGTCGTAAGGTTGAAGTAAGGCGCTGCTCACCAAGCCCTGTGCACCCCAGCTGGCTCTCAGCGCTCAGTACTGACATGGCCCGTCAGCTGTGCTCCGAAAACAGAGACCTTCTGCCTCATAGACGGTCCAGGGCACACTCATCACTGCCTGAGTCTGTTAACCCGACAGCGGTGGGTGGGGGGCAGGGGGCGACGGGTTGATGAAACATCCTTGTCAGACTCCACTGCCAAGTTGCCAAGGCCACGTCTGGAGTTGGACTGGATGGCCAGGGCCTAGCAGGGTGTGTGCACTCGCAGAACATTTACCCAGGAAAGTGCTGGGGCCCTGCCCAGCTCTGCAGCTTGACCTTCCCCGTCTGGCTGGTACCAGAACTGCAGCAGTCACAAAAACTGGGAGGCACGGTGACACCGACTGAACCGTGTCACCCGCAAAATTCACAGGTGGGAGCCCCACCCCCCATGTGATGTTATTTGGAAATGGGGCCTTTGGGAGGTGATGAGGGTTACGTGAGGTCAGGAGGGGGGTCTGTGGTGTTTTGTCATGGCAGCCCCAGCTGACTGAGACTCATGGGGTTCTCCTCCCCTAGGTGGGGCCAGGCCAGGCCGGGCAGGGGGCAGGTCGGGAGCTAGAGATCCCATCCTTCCCACAGCCTCCCCAGTTCTGGGGAACAAGAACAGCAAGCTAGTGCCCAAGAAGACAGTACGTACAGGAAGAGCGAGGTTCTGAAGGGTGGTGCAATGGAAAAGGAGGCCCATGTAATGCTTCTGCTCAAGATGTTTGTCTCAAGGACTGAGTGTGCGTGTGTGAGCTCTCGCCCAGCACGTGGCCTCTCTTAATTCCTCCAGCATCTATTAAAATTTTTTTCTCTTCTCTCTTATTTTTATTCTTCTTTAAAATCATAAAACTGCATTTGTTTTCCCAGCATCTATTTTTTCCCTCAGGGTCTGTGTGGTCTCCTGGCTGGAGTTCCTTCCTCAGCGTTTGTGCGTGAAATGGATTCCACTAAAGCAGGAAGGAGCTGCTCTGCGATCTCAGTGTGGCTTGGTGAGGAAGCAGTTAAAAAACACCCACAGAAAACAAAAGTTCAGAATGGAGTTCTGTGAGATTGGAATGAAATGACTTTTGGTTAAAGTGCCTCTTCTTCTTTTTTTTTTTTAAGTAGGCACCACACCCAGCGTGGAGCCTAACGTGGGGCTTGAACTCACGACCCTGAGATCAAGAGTCGGACGCACTCAACCAACCGAGCCACCCAGGCGCCCCTAAAGTGCCTCTTCTTAAAGACAAGGAGACAAAGGTTCTCTCCCTGGCAAGGCTCCCGTGCCCTGGGACGTGCTTCTTGCGGGGCACGCTTAGGCTAGAGGGTCTGTCCAGCTCACTACTTTACCTGTGGAACTGACTTTAGGGGGCTGCTTTTTTTCATGAAGCGAGATTCGGGCCTCTGCTGTCCCTTCCCTGGTCAGTCCGTAGGCTTGCAGCAGATCTAATAAAATGGGGTTGGCCCCTGGCACCATGACACAAACCAAGAGCCCGCCCCCCGTGGGTCGCACACTGTCCCTTGGAGCAGGATGGGGAGTTCTGGCACATACTCACTTGTCCAGTCTTCTTCAAAGCAGTGCAGAAAGTGGAATCCCACCATGATGAGGGCGTGCAAGGAAATGAGAGCTATGTACATCTGAAACAGGAAAGCAGGGCAGATGCCATTGTTGTGAGAACCTTCTGACGGTGCGGGCTCCTGGGACAGGGGTGCTCAGGACCTCCCATCCCGGAACACTCAGTAAGGCTGAGGGCTGACTGGGAGAGAGCCAGGAGGCCTCTGGTGATTCCCCTAGGGGTCTCCCGCCCTGGCTCTGGGACCAAGGTGAGTGTGTGTCGAAGGAGAGACAAGCGCCCGTCGCCGGGTGTGACCTGGGCTCTAGGTGGGCCAGGGCGTTCCGGGCCGGTGGCTGCCCTGCACTTGAAAACTCAGGGTGCTGACTGCCAAGGGCTCTTCCAGCCCTCTTGCTAAATCTCTACCTACCTGCAGCTGAGGGAGGGCTTGCAGTCACCACCAAAACTGGCTTCTGTAGCTACTTAGCCTGGACACTTTGGGTGGGAGCCCAGCACACAGCCCTTGCTTAGAGACGATCGACTTGAGCCAATGTGCTAGGTGCTCAAGTGGAGGGCTTAGGAACAGGCACTTGTTGAGCCCAGGAGCGCTCTGGCGGGAAGGCGGAGGCCTACACGGCCAGGCAAAACTCCGAACCAGCAGCACAAGACACTGCAAGTGCCGAGAATTTTCGAAGGACCGAAGCGCTCCGTTGCTCCACGGAGGGTGGGGCAGGCCTGGGAAGCTGACTTACTGTAAACAGGACGAAGTACTTCTGGTTGTTCTCGCCGACACAGTTATTGACCCAGGGACAGTGGTGGTCCATCTTCCGAATACACCGCTTACAAACGCTGAAAGGGCCCATAAGGCAGACCTTCAGGGGTGTCCTCACGGCGGCAGGGGCCCGAGGAGAGCAGAGAACCTACCCCCCAGCTCTACTCCGAGCACAGGGCCTCCTTGGGCACTGCCTGGTGGACTGCTGGGGGTGTGGCAAAGAGCCTGGAAGGCGGGGTCAGGACCCCCAGGGTCCCACTCATTCCCAACAGGGGACAGTCATTGGTCAACAAGGCCCCTTCTCTTGTTTGACATGAAACAGGGTGGCACCGAGGGGCTGAGCAAGAGGCTGCTCTCTGGTGCTCACAGTGAGCCGCAAGCTGGTTTACTGAGAGGATAGAGCGAAGAGGCGGTTTACAGAAAACAGGTACTCCCAACTTCCCCCAAACACCCAAAACCCGAGGGCCAGGGGCCAGCTGGGAGGGCGTGGCTGACCGCAGAGGGCGCTGGGAGAGGAAGAGTGGGCTCAAGGGCAGGATGTCTTGGCGGCAGGAAGTGCCCCTCAAGAACCTTTCAGCTGGAAAGTAACCACCACTTAGCTGCAAAAGCAGAATGCATTTGAGCTTAAGTGTTGATCAGAAATCCCATTAATTTGCAAATTGCTAACTTGTAACTGGGCTCCTTTTGGGACTGGGACTGTTTCAAGCTTATCCGACAGCAAACATCCCTTTTTGGAAAAAATAATCTGAAACAGGAGTGCAGGTTCCTGGGGGCTTGAAAGCACCTACTCCCCAAACTCGGGTTTAGACACACCCCTTTGCCAACAGATAGCCTCACCAGATATGGGTCCTGTCTCAATTTAACATAGGCTCCTTGAAATGATCTTGGGGGTGTCATTTGTTCAAAACAGTTTTAAATACTGTAAATATAAGCCCGGGAATAATACAATTAAAGTGTTTTCTGTTTTGAAAGCCCCTTGGCTCACACCAGCTTTTCTTTCCACTAGTTTTCACAGCTAACTTTATCTCAGGTTCTGGGCTGTGGCGGGTGGACCCTGGTGGAAGGGCTGTGTCACGTTCCGGCGTGGGGAGCTCACACCTGCCAAGCTCTGGCTGGCCGCCCGTCCGGGCAGGGAAAGCACAGGAGGAGCTCTCCTGGGAGTGGAGGTGAGCTGCTCCCCAGACTCCAGGCCAGGAAGCACAGACCACTCTGAAGGAGAGCCCCGCGGCTAGGCCATGGCCAACTCGGAGCTGCGGGCTCATCCACACCCCAAGGAGGACGTGCAGCCTTTTCTGAGCAGGGCGTGAGCTTTGGTGGTAAGGTAGGCCTGGGCCTGCTGAGCTACCTTGGTCAGAATGGCCAAACTTGGAGCCTCGGGTTCCCAATCCACAGAAAGTGTTATAAGGACAAGGTGAGGACTGATTGTGGGGGCCTGGCCAGTCTCCACCCTGGTTCTGTTCCACAACTTCGAAGGTCCTCACTAATATAGGGGGGAATGGGCACATCTCAGAGAGGCTGGCCCAGCTCTAGAATCTCCCTGGGAGCCAGGAGGGCAGGGGAAGAAGAGGCATGAAAGGGACACAGACAGATATAAAGAGAAAGTCAGGTACCCGTCTCTCTGTGTGCATGTGTTACTAATTAAAAAAGTACATATGAATATGTATAGTATAGATTTCAATTAATAACACTTGTTCCCAGGATATAATTTTAAGAGTACAGACAAGTAGAGAGTGAAGACTGAGCCGCTCCCTGCATCCTGGGCCTCAGCCACCAGGCCCCACGTTCCCTCTGCAGAGCCACCTTGCACGTCCTTCCTCAGCTCTGGGATCTTAGCTCCCTCCCAATCTGAGGACCAAACTCCCAAGGTTAAGCCCCTCCCTGCCCCAGGCTCCTGAGCCCTTTCTCCTCCATCTGTGCCTCCTTCTGCAAGGGGTTTCTAGTGGGTGCTCTGAGGCAGTGTTTGCTCAGCAGCAGAGAGCTGCCAAGTGGCCTGACATCCTCTGAAAGCCGCCTGAGTTTCAACGAGCTCTCAAGCAAATCCATCCTTTGCTCTCCTCCCAGCCTCTAAAGAGCCCCGGCGTGCACCCCAGGAAGTGGGTTTCACGGTGGGCTACGTGTCACTGGGCGGCCACGTCAGAGTGCCTCCTCCTCCTCCAGGGAGCAGGGACAAGCGAGCAGAGCCGCTGAGAGCAGAAGTTGGCCCAGAGTGCCCGGCTCTGAGCTTCCTGTCTGCAAAGGCATGCAGTATTGTTCAGAAGCTGGCTCTGGGGCCAGGCGGGGTGCATGTGGGTGGGGAGTCCATCCATGAGCATGGTGAGGGCCCCGATCAGGCACCGTCTCACACACGGCTCACAAAACCACCTGCCCAAATGGTTCTACATTTGGGGCTTGGAGAACACCAAGGGCAAGGCCTGCCCGTGTCCCGCCCACCTGCTCCACCTCGGGCCCTATCCATCCTGAGGAAGAAAAAATGTGGACCTCCCACAACCCCGGATACCCCAGTGGGGAATCGGTCACCTCAGAGCCAGCCCTCTTCCCACTCCCAGAGGCTGGGTGGGCAGCGGGGCTCCAAGGTGTCCCCTCCCCAGACACGGGCCCTTTCCCTCTCTCCTCTCTGGGGCTCCTTACTGCTCTTTCCTTCCTGTGAGCACCAGCCCTCTCCTGAGCCTCCTCTTGGGCACCCCTCGCTGCCCCTTTGCGAGACGCTTTGGGCAGGTGCGCTCCAGGGGCTCAGGCACCGCGGGCTGGGAGCACGTCCCAAGCTGCAGGAACAGTCGCTGCAAAGACCGAACATCTTCCACGGAGGCATCTTTTGATGTCCCTGCCTTTAGGGTTTCCTGAGCCCCTTCTGTGTTTTTAAATCAATGTTCTAGAAGAAGGCAATGCCCCTCCTTTCCCTCTTCCTCCAGGTTCCCTGCCATTTTTCAGGCCCCGAAGTACTTCCTTCAAAAGCTTGGTACAGCCTGACAAGCTCATTGGCTCACTCAGGCTCTTGGTTCTCAGGCCCCAAAGTTGCTGGCTGGGGCTCTTGCCCAAGCCTGGGTGATGGCCCACTGTGGAAACATAGCTGTGTCCCCGAGGGCCTGCGTCTCCCCCTACAGAGACACTTACCAAACTGTATCGGGGTGGAAAAGTGCACCTGCCCTGCCTGAGCGGGAGGCCCAAGGGTCAGGGCCACGTCTAATCCACCGCTACGGCCCAGGGCCAGGCCCAGGACCTCCTTAGCAAGGGGGAGCTGAGTGCAGTCCCTGAAGCTACAGATGGGGAAAGAGCAGGCCTGCGAAGCGGCTCCACCGCATCAGACTGGGACGCCCGGCAGGGCACGAGCAAAGAACAAAGCTAGAGGGCACCAGGTGGACCCTGCTCCACGTCCAAGTTTTCACCCCACACCTCCTGCAAAAAAGCCTCTACCACATCATGGTCCCAGCTCTGCAACAATGTTGGGTGAGGAAGCCTGGTGCGGCGGCGGCGGAGAGAACACTGCTCTCAATCCCCATGTGGGGCCCTGGGCAAAGCATCTTAGCTTCTCCGAACCGCGCTCTGCAGAATTAGTCCCCATCTCCCAAGGTTAGAGATGATGTAGGTAAAATGCTTTAAAAACAATACTAGCGCTACATAAATTTTACCGGTGGTCACAACCATGAGAGAGACAACATAAGAATCTGGCAGGGACCCTAAGCCATCCGTGACTGTCTCAGCCTCAGCGTGTTTGTGGGGGTGGGGGCTTTGGGGAGGGGTGTGAGGCTTTGCCAGGGGCACAGGTCTCCACCTCTCTGTGCAAGAGCAACCTAACCCTTAAGCCCAACACCATGGCTGTCCACGTTAGCATGAATGGCTCCCTCTCCAGGATTTCCACAGGCCTCCATGGTCCTCAATGCCAGGACGAAAGCAGCCCGGCGTTCCAGAATGCCTCTCGGTGGAAAGAAGACGCACCCACACACTACCGGGCTGGAAGGAACATCTACACATCCAGGGTCAGGGAGCATCTGCGGTCAGGGAATGGGGATGGATTTAAATTCCACGGGGCTCTGTTAGGAGGAGAGGATGCAAAGAGCCAGGTGCGCACTCACGCACACAGACACGCGCCTTCACTCGAGCAGGGACACTGACTCCGACTCTCTCGAGCCAGGCGGCAGGCCTCTCGGCTTAAGCAGTCATAAACCCAGCTCTGTCTGGTGTGCTGGGGATGGTGCTTATCCCGAACTGCGGGTCCCCAGATGGCCTGGGCCGCCGCAAGCCCTCCCAGAGAAGTGGTCATCAGCACACGCTTCCTGATGCGGGAGCAGGCGACACACAGGCATCCTCACTCGACTTCGTCTGAATCAGCAGCTCTTGTTTTGCTCAAGCTGATTTGTTTACTAGCACTCAAGAATACCTCCCTCGGATCATCCTGGGGAGAGAGGCGAGGAGGAGGCGGTGAGCAAAATGCCAGGCAGTGGAGGCAGCCGAGGGCTCAGGGAGGGAAGAGAAAGAACCACTGTGGTCACCCGAAAGTTCTTTCCTACAAAGCTCGAGCCTCCCTGTTGCTGGTCCAGCCTGGAAGCCCAGCGCGCCCGGCCGCTTGCACACGCCTCTACTAACTAATGGCTTCTGCCGGGGGAGCCAGCGGGCTCCCACAGTTATTCATGTCTCACCTTCACGACAAGCTGCCGGACAACAACCCCCTTTGCAGAGGACAGAGCTGAGCTCGGAGAGATGTGCTGCTTGGTCCGCGGCCCCACAGCGTGGCGGGGGCACTGCTGGGCTTCCAGCGCTGACCTCTCCAACTCCGAGGCGGGAGCCTGCTCAGCACACTGGGCTGCCCAGAGTTGGGGCCTGGGGAACCACGTAAGCAGATGGGGCCCCTTCACTCAGGCAATGAAAACAGCTGGCTTCCCATGCCCCGGGTAACAGGAAAGGCTAGACAGGCGCCTCCACCCCAGGCACAAGCAGCAAGCCCTGAATTCGTCTGTAACACAGATCTCAGAGGTAAACTGGCCCCACGCTGGGCTCGGCTTCTCCAAGCTGCTGGAAACCCCACGGGAGACAGCAATTAACATAGGCCCTGTCCAAGCTCCTCAGCCGTCACCCTCAAGAGAGGCCAACTAGTTGGGGAGGTCGCCGTCTCTCTCTGACGGAAAGACATAAGTACAATTCCATCAGACCACACAAGTCACCCCCAAACCGGAGTTCGAGTGGAAAGAGCCCTGGACCGGAGCCACAAACACCGGGCCCCACGCCTGTCTGTGGCTCTCACCAGGAGTGTGAGCTCGGTGTGCCCCTCCCGGCACCCCTCCCCCCGGTCTGAGAAAAGGACCAAGTGACACCAAGTGTAATTTAGCATTTAAAGTCCCCTTGTAGTGATAAAATGCAGTTTTTAGCTAGATGCCTTCTCGTTGAGAAGACTCAAAACAACAAAGACATCTGAAAACCAAAGGGAAAAATCACCACACACGAGATGGGGAAATGGCTTTTTGGGCCGAATCCTACAATTGTCACAACCTCGAGGAGTTTTGTTTTAAAGAAACATCTCCACTCAGGCACAGACCCTTCGTTTCCCTCTGAAAGTCAAGTGAGTAGGACCCACCTCTTAAATGGGTCAAGTACTGGGCACTCAGAATGATTTTCCAAACCTCTGTCTCCTGTGGCCTTAATAAATAAAGCTGTGAGGTAGGAAGAGCAGGAACCCCTTAATTTTAGAGCTACAGAGACAGAGGTGGAGACAGTCAAGGGCCTGGCAGGGTCCTCCATCAGGTCTCAGGACAGGCGTCCTGAGCCCAAACCAAACGCCCTTTCCAATCTAGTGAGCTCATGGAGATCGGGGCTCAGTCACAGTGGTCACGTGCCCAGAGTAGGGGACGTTCAGAAGTCCTGCTGCTGATGGCACTCGTGCGGGAAGCAGGTGTGGGGGGTGCTGCTCCAGAGCACGTGAGAGGTGGGGGAGGGGAGGAAGCGGGCCGGGGATCGGGGGTGGAAGCGGGGGGGACATGTGTACCTGCAGTGGTGGGCTCGGTCGGGCTTGATGCTGCAGCATTTCGGACACTTGTACACCACCTGTCCAGGCTTCAGCTGTAAACTCTCGATGAATTCTTTAGTGGCATTTCCTTTGGGCACCGCCCCCTGTCGGAAAGAGAAAAGGCATCAGGGCTGGGCTTCCAGCAGTTCTGATGCTCCACGGTGCAGATGGTCACTTGGGAGTGGCAACTACCCACACGGACAGGACATCTTTACCCCAACAACATGTGTGTTCAGAATTATGCCAACACCGATGGACACTTACGGACAAAGAATTTTCCGGAGGAAAAGTAAATGATTTTTCTAGAGTGAACAGTTACATTGTTCCTGATAATTTTTTATAAAGATTACTTATTTATTTGAGGAGAAAGAGAGAGAGAGAGAGAGAGAGGGAGGGAGAGAGAGAGCATGAGCAGAGAAAGGGGCAGAGGGAGAAGCAGGCTTCCCACTGAGCAGGGAGCCCAATGTGGGGCTCAATCCCAGTACCCCAGGACCATGACTTGAGCTGATGGCAGATGCCCAACTCACTGAGCCACCCAGGCACCCCATGTTCCTGATAATTTTCTATCTTCATCTTAGTGAAATAGTTTTCATTGAATCCATTCTTTCCTATGTAAATATTACTGTGAGGATTTGACTCACCGATTACTTTTTAGTATGCGTTAAAATTTCTCAGTAACAGCTTTGGCCTTTTCGAATATTCATTGGCGGGCATCGCACCTGACAGTTCAGTTTTCCCAGGCCTAAGTTTGCAGCTCTGAACTGTTTAAACTAGAATCGGGTTTTATTTTTTACCAATCCTACTGTTGTGAAGCATCGGTAATCTATATTTGGTTCTTATGAATCCAAAAGCAACTGTGAGCACTGCCCTCAGATCTGACTTGCTTTTTGACCAGAACTGCCCTCCAATTCTCTATCCCATCCTTTTCATATGCTTGTGAATACTTGGCGTTTTGCTCTGTCAACACCTTTGGGTGGCAGACCCAAAATACCACCAGAGTCTACTGGGGCTGGTGCTCGTCTGAGCAGAAGGAAAACAGGCCGTGTCCAGGCCTCAGCCAGGTCCCAGTAACTGATCCTCACCAGGTGCCTACTTGGTGCTCACTGCTATGGATTCAGGAATCAAACAAGGTGGCTGTCCCAGCAGGCTCCGGGTCTTTCGGAGAGTGGCAACAATTCTAGAAGCCACTGTGCTGCCGCCAACTAGCCAAGGCAACCACAGAAGTTTCTAGAGGTGAGGGCTTTTTTTGGTTTTGTTTAAGTAGGCTCCATGCCCAGTGCGTGGAGCCCGACGTGGGGCTTGAACTCACGACCCTGAGATCAAGACCTGAGCTGAGATCAAGAGTCGGATGCTTCGGGCGCCTGGGTGGCTCAGTTGGTTAAGCGACTGCCTTCGGCTCAGGTCATGATCCTGGAGTCCCTGGATCGTGTCCCGCATGGGGCTCCCTGCTCGGCAGGGAGTCTGATTCTCCCTCTGACCCTCCCCCCTCTCATGTGCCTGCTCTCTCTCACTCTCTCTCTAATAAATAAATTAAAAAAAAAATCTTTAAAAAAAAAAAAAAGAGTCGGATGCTTCACTGACTGAGCCACGCGGGTGCCCCTCAAGAGGTGAGGTTTAAGGATGGTCCTGAGGCACACACAGAGGTTTGCCAGGTGGGCCTGCGGGAGAAAAGGGACTGTGGCCGGCGGAGGGGCATAGGGAAAGACAAAAAGGTGAGCGTGAGCACGGCACATCTGGGGGACGGTGAGAAAATCAGCACGGCGGGGCCCCGGGCATGCAGTGGCAGCAGAGAGGCTGGACTAATGGGCAGGGGCCAGCTTGAGCAGAGCAAACGCCAGGCCTAAAGGCTGGGGCAGGATTCTCCTTCATGGGCCACCCAGAGCCATCAGGGAACATCTCGAGGATGACAACCCAGTTGCCTCTGCTGTGCGGGTCAGATAAGAAAAGGAAGAGCAGAGAACCCCACAGAGCAGTTAGGAGGTTACTGCTGATGGCCCAGTAAGTGAACACAGGGGTGGAGGAGAAGTGGGGAGGGAATTCAGATCCAAACAAAAGGGGCAGGGAACGAAATGAGTCCCGTGGTGGGGGAGAGGGCGTGAGAAGGGAGAAGAACACGAATGGGTCTCACCTAGAGGAGCTGGTGAATGGCCGTGCCTGTGAGGCTCCAACCCGACCTGCAGGAAGGGCTCAGCTGAGGCTCGCCACAGAGACAGTGCTCAGCACACAGCAGCGCAGTGGACTGAATGTTTGCGTCTCCCCCAGATTCACAGGCTGAATCCCCCAGTGTGTGGTATTAGGAGGTGGGGCCTCTGGGAGGTGATGCGGTCACAAGGGTTCCGCGAGGCGATTAGGTCATGGGGTGAGCACCTTATAACAGGTCCTCAGGGCTCCCTCCCCCTGCCTGCCACGTGAGGACACAAGAAGTGGCCGCCTACGAACGAGGAAGTGAGCCCACCCCAGACGCGGAAGCTGCCCGGACCTTGATCTTGGACTTCCCAGCCTCCAGAGCTGTGGGAGATAAATTTCTGTTGGTCAGAAGCCAGCCAGTCTCTGGTGGTCCCGAACGGACTGAGCCAGGTAGCCTGTATCCTGGGTCGTGCGTGGGAGACAACACGCAGCTTTAACAAGCTACGGGCACCCAGACTCTGATGCAGAGCTACCATACAAGAACTGTCAGCCGTGCGGCCCAGGCACTCGCATTTTTTTAAAAGCTCTCAGCAGGGCTGAGAACCACTATGCTAGACCAGGGGCTCCATGACTGGATCTACCTTGTTCAGCACCAGAGCCCCTAGCCCGGAAAAGGTCTATCGGTTTCTGGCATGGGGTGAAAGGAGCAGTGAAAGCAAGCAGAACAAAAAAGAAGGGAGCCAAGGGTGCCAGTCTTGGTGGTGGTGGTGGTGGTGGGGGGGGGTTCCAGCAGTGTGGCCCAGCTCCCTAGCAAGAACTGGGTCTAACACTGGGTCGAGTCACAGCTCTGGGGTGGGACTGCTCCACACCCGCCATCCAAGGTCGAGGTGACACCAGGCTGCTCTCATCAGTGGGCAGCCACGAGCTACCACCATCAGGGAAGCTGATGAACAACAGAACCGGGGACCACTCCCAAGTCCCAAAGGGGCCCGGGAGGGGGAGCGACAGTGTGGTCTACTAGAGTGGGTAAGGTGGGGATTTCAGGGCTGACAGAGCATCCCTGGCCTCCCCAGAGTGGGGCTGATGGACTCTAACACGCTAAGGGAGGGGTTCCCAGGGTAGGAGAGATGAAAACTGGGTGTCAGAACCTTTCCCACAAAGAAGGAATTCTGGGATAGGAAGAGCCACTGAAGAAACAGCAAGAACTTGGGAAATGCTGATGAGGCAAGGGAGCTGGAGTTTCATCTTTCGCTAAGAAAATGACTCACAGGGGACAAAGATTCTAGTTACGGAAACTGCAAAGACAAATCAATGAACAACTCTTCCTGAAAATCTACACCCCACCGAGCACTGTGGGAAGTGCAAGCAAGCAATGGGGGCCTGGGTCTCAAACAGCGGGTGGGGCAGGCCCCCAGGTACCCCGACACAGCAAGGAGGCTGAGCACCTAGTGAAAGGCATGGCCACCAGGACAACAGGAGCTGGGCTGGCGACCCGGGAAGGCCCAGGAGGATCCTGGCGGGTGCAGCAGGACAGAGGCACCTGGGAAGGGAGACAGTCCAAGCAGTGGCCAGAGGTGGCCTGTCCAGGGAGTGCCGGGTAGAACAGAAGCACTGGAGCGAGAGGGTATGTGCGGGGGGTGTCTTTCTGGCAGCGGAGAAAAGATTCAGTACCGCAGTTCAATTATGGGAAGATTTTCTATTTGTCTCAAAGAGGTCCCGGGGTGCCTCTCTGGGGAGGCAGGGGGAGCACTCTGTTCCCGTCTCCTCCTGCCCCTCACCCCACCCCTCCTGTGGCTCTCTGCTGGGCTCCCCAACTTTCCCCTGCTGACCCCTGTCACCAGCTCTTTATCTGTTACCACCCGCGCTTTCCTGTCTCATCAAGGACCTGCTCATGCCCGAGATGGGCAGCACATGGCTGACTAGGAACAGAGCTGTGCTTTCCCACTGGTCTGCCTGAGCGCCATGGGGCAATAGACAAACAGGGAACGAGAAAATCCAAAGGACTGCTCATCCACAGGAATGCTCTTCTCATTGGTGGAGGCTCAGGACTTGGAGTGGGACAGAGATGCGGTCCTGAGAAGAAACTTCTGGTACACAGGCACTGTGGGCACCAAGGTGCTGAAAACTACACGTGATTCAGGGTAACCATCACCTCGTGGTGGCGGGGAGGCTGGGAGAGAAATGGAGTGGGGCGGGATGGGAGGGATACAAAGAGTTTGCTAAACTGTCTTTATGATGTTTTACTTATGAGGCTGGAGGGGAGTGAAGATATCATATCATCATATCATCGTACTATCCTTTATATCCTTTCAATTGTCGGAAGTGTGTCATTAAAATTTTTTCTAAAAGTTCAAAAAAGTAGAAAAAAAATCTGGTCTGCAAAATGCAGGCAGGTGGCAGAAAAGCCTAAGATAGAGATTTTTTTTTTTAAAGATTTTATTTATTTATCTGACACAGAGAGACACAGCGAGAGAGGGAACACAGGCAGGGGGAGTGGGAGAGGGAGAAGCAGGCTTCCCACGGAGCAGAGAGCCCGATGTGGGGCTTGATCCCAGGACCCTGGGACCATGACCTGAGCCGAAGGCAGACGCTTAACGACTGAGCCACCCAGGTGCCCCTAAGATAGCAAACAAACTTTGGTAGGCAAGGACTCTATGGTATGTATGATGTCATTTAGGATATACCTCCTGACATTAAATATGCTATAAAAGTATATAGCTATTTAACATGGACAACATCTCTGACAGGTTGTTAAAGGCAAATGTAGATTTCCAAACAATATAGGGCATTTAAGACCTTCTGGTACAGTCTGACACACAGTTAGACACTTGAACAATGCGGGGCTTAGGGGCCCGGGCAGACAAAACCCACATACAACTTTTGAGTCCCCCAAAACTTTACTAATAGCCTACTGTTGACCAGAATATCAATAACATGAATAGTCAATTCACACATATGATGTATGTTTTATGTATTA